AACACTGTATTCTCTTCACCTTGATTCACCAATTATTAATTTTTTGCTTAATCTTTTTTCTATTTTTTTCCTGACATTTTGAAAGTAAATTGTACACATCAGGATTGTCTCCTCTAAATTCTTCAAGCATTGATCTCCTATGAGCAGGGGCATTCTCCTACATAGTATAATACCATATCTCCCTTCAGGGAATCTAACACAGGAAATTTAACATTAATGTGTGTGTAATATTATGATCATGTATAGTCCATATTCAGATTTCTCCAGTTGGCTCCATAATGTCCATCATAGCTATTTTTTCCTCAATTCATCTAGTTCTCACGTCTCTTTAGTTTCCTTTGGCCTGGAAGAATTCCTCTGTCTTTTTTGTTTGTTTAGGTTTTTCATGACATTGAAATTTTTGAAGTGCCCAGGCCCGTTATTTTAAAGAATGTACTACAATTTAAGATTTGCCTGAAATTTTCCTCATGATTAGATAGATGCAGGTTAACTATATTTGGTGGGAGTACTACATTACTGAGATATTTTTAGAGTAACACAACAAGAAGGGCCCATCAATTTGTCTCATTACTGGTCATAAGTTTGAGTCCTTCTTATAAAGTAATGTCTGCCAGATTTCTGAATTGTAATGGCTCATGTTTCTCCTATGTCAAAAATACATTATATTTTATGACTGTATTGGTACAAAGAGGAATATAGTAATATTCTTTGACCTAGAAGTTCTTTTTTTTTTCCTTGTAATTTAAAAAGAAGTTGAAACATTTTTGTGGGCCATAAAAATATGGTGGGCCCTGAGCACTATTGTGTTTAGTGGGTTAGTCGGCCTTGGTGACCAGGCCTTCTATTGAGTTCTAGGAGTAAATTAAGGAACAAGCCACACCCCCAGAGGGGACTACACATGGTATAAATACCAGGAAGTAGGGTTCACTAGGGCTATCTTTGGAGATTAGCTATCACTTCTGTTTGGAACTGTGATCTCCAATCCCTGGCCTATGGACTTGATAGTGGCCCATGGCCTGTTTGGAACCAGACCACACAGCATCACTGCCTGAGCTCCACCTCCTGTCTCCCTCTCCTTACTGCCCCACCCTCCATCCCCTTCTGTGAAAAAATTATCTTCCATGAAAATGACCCCTGGCCCCAAAAAGGTTGGGAACTAATGGATCAGAACAAAGTTTCCAGTAAAGATCCATTAACATGTTCCTGTAACCCACTTATTTGTGGAAATGAGATAAGAATATGAGTTTCTGATGTAACTGGGAAAGCAGACTAACCAGCTGGCCCCACTGGGTGTGAAGTGGGTTTACCCTGGGTGGCAGTATTCCTTTGTTTCCTGACAATTTCACTGGAGTTTATTTTTTGCAGTTGTTCCATATTTTTTAATGTTACATGTCAAAGAGTAGAGTATAAATGGCTTAATACTGTAGCTAAGTAAGTGAGGTGAAGGCTATGTTAACAGGTTTGATGTAAGCATTCTAAATTGTATATAAAATCAGCATATTATATCCCATAAATGCATTAATGTATACATGATGTATACAACTATGATTTAATTAAAAAATTAAGAGAAAAACGTATATAAAGATTTTATTAAAACTTAGCTTTGAAAAAAAATCTAAAATATAAGTTTATTTAATCTTATATTTAACAAAAATTATCTTTAAGTTGAAATTAAGCATTAATTTCTAAGAACAAAAATGCAAATATAAAAGTATTCATCTTAAGTAGGAATTTGGGCAGAATTCACTCAACCAAATTATAAGATAATATTACGCTATATTTCTCATTTTGCAGTTAAATTTTCCAGCATGAAAATAAATTACTAATGTGAAAATATTTTAAAATTAAAAAAATATTTACTGTTCTGTTTTCAGGAAAGTCAGAAAAACCTCAGTGACGTGGGTATTAGTCAATCTATGCACATCAATGTTGATTTTCAACCTCCTCTTTGTGTTTGGAATTGAAAATTCCAATAAGAACTTGAAGACGAGTAATG